CAGACCAGCAGTGTTCCTCCATGTCCTGACCTCCCCCTCTAGCATGCAGCCCGGGCCCTGATTCCTTGGGTGAGATCCAGCTTGGCCCTTGCCGTAGAAGTGAATTTTCTGTAAAGGTGCAAGTCCTTGGCTCAACCAACATCTATAATTTACTTTGTGATTACCGAATTGTAGGAATTATGCCAAACAAGTGGCATGTTTCTGTGTTCTGTGAACTGATGCCTTGGACTCCTGTGATTTTTTTTTTCTTTTTTTTTTTTTTTCTGGATTTAAACTGGGGAGAATGTCAGCAGTACTACCTCAGAGGTGAAATTTTCTCCTGCTTCTCTTTCATGAAGAATCCACATTTCTGATTAATTGGCAAAAGAATTAATAACCTTAGCCTAAGGAGAAATACCCCATCATTTGAGGTTAATCACATCCTTAAAGGCAACAAATAAGAAAACTATTCGCTGATAGTCCTGCTTTCTATGAGGGTTGAAGTGTTGCTGCCTTCACTCATTCCTCCCTAGTGTTCTTGTTTGAGAGGAGGCTGCAGAGCCAGCTCCATAAACTTAAGAATCCTGAGTCAAAAACCACTGGTCTAGTGCCACTTACTTTTGGTTAACAATGTTGGATTGGTTGGCCGCTTCTGAAAACATTAAGTGTAAATGAAATAGAAGATTTCTCAGTAACAAATTTAGCTATAGTCTTTCTAAATGTGGGGAAAAAAAGACTCTGTGAAATGAGATTTTGGTCTTGTTTCTTTGAAACAGGATTAAAAGCTTCCCAGGCAGTTTGCTGGCTGCTTTAATACCTGACACTAGTCTGAATTTAAAAAGTTCATTTAGGCAGTTTGCTAAATGGATAAATTTATTCATGGCAGATGTAGAGCAGCAAATATAGCTGAGGATAGTGAGCAATGGATTCTCAAGTCTGGGAAGCTAGAAGGGTTTTGGAAAAATGGAGTATTTTGTTTCTCCTTACAGTAACTTGAAATGGACTTTACTTTTTAGCCAGGAAGCTTTATGCAATATATTTCTTAGTACTCCTATCAGCTAACTGACCTGATCTTTTAGAAAGGAAATCAGTCAAGTAAATTTGTAACAGTCCTTTCTCTTCTTTGGATGACAAAGTTTAAAGATCATGACATGGTGAAACAGACAAAATATTTTTCTCTGGAAAGACAATTTGATTGTGTAAGCCTGCCTCTATCTTTATTGTGTTAGCAGTCTGTTTGGGAAGAAGGAAATGTTCATCAGCATCGTGTAATTGTTGGGAACAAAAATTTTAAAGTAACCAGGCCCAGAATAATGATATGGTCTTGGTGTGTATATGACATCTAATAGAGAGGCAATAATAACCAGCAAGAAAGGGTTCACCATCAGTGCTGCTCTTCCAGAATGCTTCATGGTGTTCCTTTTGGGAAGGACAAGTACAATTTGTATTGTCATGCCAATTAACGCTCTGGGGTGGTGCTGGGAAGAGGGCAGGAAAAAGCCCTTGGATGTTTGCATGCTAATGTGGCATCTGCCTTAAACATCGTCCTGGCTGTTCATGTTCCTGGAATTGTGAAATGGGAAGCTACTTTGCATTTTGGCTTTTATTCCCTGAATAATGAAAACTTCTTATGTGCTTGCTCAGCTTGAAGGAGGAGTTCCCCATCTGGTATGAGAAACTGGTACTGGAAATAGTCCACCACAACACTGTATCTTTGGAAAAGTTGGTGGATGCAGCTTGGCTGGAGATTATGACCAAATTTGCAGTGGGAGAAGAGTGTGATTTTGAGGTGAGGTTCTGTTTTCCATTTTAACCCATGCTTTTGCACAGAGCTAATTTTGGATATCTAAAGGCAAGAGATGGGAAGAATATGTTAGCCACTTACATTATCAGAAAGATGGTGAGAATTTCTTTTCTACAGAATCCCAGTGACAGCAGCTGCTTTTGAATGCAAAACGGTTCCATAAGCGTGTGGATGACCCATACTGATGGCAAGAGCAAAATGACTCATCTGTATGTGTGCGTGGGGAAATAGATATATTTGTTATACTGCTTAAAAATGCAGTGGTCTGTGTATATATTTAAATATACATAAACCCACACATTTTAATTAAAACCAGTTAATAATTATCATGTGCCGTAATCTTTTTACCTAACACATTCTCAGAAGGAGTAGTAGTCTTAAATTAATGTCTCCTGAAGTCAACTGCTCACACATCTCTAACGATGCTCTAATAATTAGAAAATTCCCTCCAAAACTGGGAATGATGGGGAAAACTCCAACTTGTTAAAAATAAGGTTCTAAAACGTTCTCTGTTTTGTAATGTGTTTAGGACATATTCTTTTAACTGGGGCTGCTGAGAGCATGCTTGCACCTTGCATGCACGCTCTTTCCTTAGGCTGAGAAAGCAGCATTGTTAAACACTGGAAAAACTTGTGGGTTGGCAGTTCTCTCTTTCTTAGCAATTTGTACAGAACTTCCAGGTAGGAGTAGTAGAAAGAAATCCTGTAATTTTTTCATGGGAGGGATTATGAGCTTCTCTCAAGGAAGATGTCAATTAAGTGTTTTGCCAAATTAGGGTTTGTAGGTCGTCTTAGCTGATTTTTTTCCTTCCTCATAGTGTTAAAGCTCACTAGTTCACCTGTCTTCCTCAGCTTCGGTTTCATCAATGTTTCCGTGCAGGTTGGTAAGCAGAAAATGTTGCCTGTGAAAGTTGTGAAAATACACCCCCTGGAGAAAGTTGATGAAGAGGCCTCAGAAAAGAAATCTGATGGAGCCTGCGATTCCCCATCCAGTGACAAGGAGAACTCCAGCCAGGCAGCCCAGGACAACCAGAAGGAAGCTATCCTGAAGGAGGATGACAACAGGAGGGAAAGTATGAGTAAGTAGTAAGACAGCATGCCAGTAGGTAACACCTGGAAGTGTGTATTTGAATTTTTGTATGTGTTTGGTGGCATCGGTGCTGTTGGCTTTCAACTGTTCTTGCCTGGTTTAAAGCAGAAAATGTGCTGTCGTTGTAAGGTGTAGTACCAAAAGCTATGCATAAAATGTATAAGCTTCGAAAGTATAACAAGTGTATTTTTTTTAAAAAAAAGTGTGAGGGGCGGACGGACAGCAAAGGTTAATGCATAAAGTTCTGCTCTGATGTTCATCCTCAGAACAAACGTCTCTAGTTCTAAAGCCTGTTGTTCTGCAGTCAGAGACAAGCTCTAATTCCCTTTCATGTCCCCAGCTGACATAAAAAATAAGAGGGTGGTTTTGTTTATTTTGGTTTATCACCTTTCCAGTTTTCAAATGCTGAGACAAAATTCCTGCAGAAAAATGCATATTAATTTTTTTCTAAGGGTTCAAAATAAAACATGCTTTGAAACGTTGTTCCCCTCTTTCATATCTGTTCCTCTGTGCTGCAGAACTAAACAATGCATGTCCAAGGTTTTTCTTGACTCTCAGGAGATATTGTTTTTAAAGGGGAGAAGGGAGGGGGCGTTAGTTTAATGTCCTGTGGAACTTCTTAAAGATGGAATGATAAGATTCTTTAAAAGACATTTCAAAAAGTATTTTAAACAAAAAAAAAACACAACAAAACAAAACCAACCACACAGCATTGCTTTAATCTGACTAGCTTAATTTTAAAGGCACATAAATGCAATAAACTGTTTGCATTTGTAAATAGCCCCTCCAGCATCTGGGGAAGGTGCGTATAGCTTCCTCTAATATGGAGAAGAGGAAACTCCGAAAACAGCCCAGCAAGCTAGTAGCAACGTCAGGAGTGGAAAACAAGTTCTACCAAGCTCTAGTCCTGAGCTTAATAATTGCCAGCTGTTTCTGATTGGTACTGGAAAAAGTTATGAACTGTTTCAATTTCATTACAGTGCTGTGTATAACCAGGAAAGAAAATAAAAAGTGTTGCAGAAATGATCTGGCCTTACATCAGAAATGATCTGATCCATTGAAACAGTAGTAGTGCTTGGAGGGGGGCTAGTGCATGTGCTTTTGGGCGGTAGTTCTCTTGAACTAACTCATAAAAGGCATGGGAAGTACCTTTTAATTTTAAAATGCTCATTGACCAAATCTACAGCAGGTTTTTTGGGCTTGGGTGTTTACTGAAGTCTACCATAATGTGTTGGTCATTGGTGTGCAGCATCCTAGCCAGCTGTGTTCAGCTGTGCTCTTACTGGCACTGTCCATATAGCGCTCTGTGGTTGGAGGAATATTGCAGTAATGGGAATTCCTGCACCTCTTCCAGTCTCTGACTTAGCTGATGATCTGGCCCGTGTTTAGTCACCTCTATAAACCGGGACTGTGCTACCCTTTCTGTAAAAGAGGTACCTTGGCATTTTCAAATCAAAGATGGCAGCAGAGTTATAATGCAATCAGTAAAAGCAGTAAGTGCTCATTCTTTTAACTTGTACATCCTTGTACATACTCTTTTATTAAAAGGATATTTTATTACTAATGCGTTTATATTCTGGGTTGTAATAGAACATAGGTTCATAGTAAGGTGTGTGTACGTAGGTAGATATGGTGCTTAGTGACATGGTTTAGAGGTGGTTTAGTCAGGGCAGGTTGATGGTTGGACTTGATGATCTCCAAGGTCCCTTCCAACCTTAGTGATTCTATGATTCTAAACTCATACCTACATCTATATTCTGGAGTTTGTTAAAATAACTGCAGAACACTTACTGCATTTATACAGCATACTACAGAAGTAGTGAAGACTTGCTTTCATTTAGTGGCTTCAGACCCTGGACTGCACCTGTGGGAGGCTGTTTGCAGTATCTGGAGGTGCCTAGCCACACTTAATTTGGCTTTTTCTTTCTCATAACTTGTGTACTTGACCACTGGAAACACGGTTTGAGGTCACTACGCAAGAGTGAGCATTTAGAAGCAGTAACAGGCTCTGCATAACAGTGGGTGATGTCAGAGCTGTATCTTTCTCCACACACACGAGGGGGCAGAGTTGACCTTAGCATTTTTACTGATACTTATGTCAAACTTGGTGATTTTGTTGGAGGGGAAAAAGGGGCAGAGAAAGAGAGCTTCAGTCTCTAGTTAGGAGTCTACTGTGCTTCAGAAGCTAAAAATAAGGCTTTATTACCAGCTTTATTGCATCGTATGTGAAGCCTGAAGTGGCTTGTATTTTTAGTTGCTTAGGGAGTGAACTCTGGAAAATCTGCAGAAGTGAGAGGAAAGGCTAGTTTTCCCTGAAAATGGATGGTGAACTACTGAAGGCAGGTTCTGCAGCTTGAGCTGTACTTGGAACTAGCACTGCTTTGGAAAATCCAATGTAAGTGGTGAATAGGAGGAGACAACAGCCTATGGATGCTTTATGAGGTTCCAGTAATGTAGTGAATGTAAGTTTTATTACAGTTCAATGCAGCAGCAAATGAAGTATGCTTTTTGTAAAATAACTTTAGGAAGGAATGTATAGTGATTTCTTCTTCCCCACCCCCAAGCATCCAGGTGCTGTTTGATGGAATTCAGTGTAGTCATCCCTATTTCTAGAATGTCGAAAGTAAATCACAAAAGGAGAGGTCGCTCACAGGCCTGCTGTAGAGGCAGAAGTGTAACAGAGTACTTCAAAGTCAGAGCCAGGACTAAGCAATGCATATTTTTTAAATGTAAAATTGCTATGCATGGTACAGGCATCCAGCAAAGATAATGTTCAGCCACTTAAAAGATATTGAGGCAGGTCTCTGAAAGCAGAGCTTTACAGAGCTTGGAACGTCTTGTATGCGACTGCCATTGTGCTGTTGAGCAGAAAAACATAATTCAGTATTTGTGAGCGCTAATGTGGGAAGTAGCTGCATGTTTGTGTATACGGTGCAGTGAGCCCATAGCATCTGTGATCTGTTCCCTAACCAAGGTGACTGATTTTTGGAACGTAGGGACAGGCAGAACTTGTTTTTATACCATGTAAGCTATAATGCTGCTGAAGCTTAAATGCTATAGGGCTTACAATGTGGCAATGAGATAGATAGATACATATATATAGATATATATTTAAAAGTCTGACTAGGTCTAGTATCTACTTGTATTCTGTGTATACTTAGTAGATAATTATTCTCATCTATCATGTTTGCTTTACTGTTTTCTTTGAGTCATAGCTACAAACATAAAAACATTTGGGGATCACTTTCTTCAGTAAGCTCGAGTTTTGTCTTAAATCATTAACATTTACAACCTGAATATAGAAATAATAAATTCAACACCAGCTGGCAAGAAGATGTGATGCCTTTGGGCTATTTCAGTTGCATCTCTCTTGAGAATAAAAAGACTGGTTGTATAAGTATGCTTAAAATCTCCCCCTAAACTAGCCTGTACACATAGGGCTCATAACTGTAAAATGCTTAAAGGTCACCTGAGGTAAATGATTTTAAAAGTTACTTTAATTTAGAGTCATTAACTTCTGCAGTAGAATTTTTTCAAACAGGGCATGGCAGAGACAGCTAGGGTTCTTGGCAGGAGCTCCCTAAGCGGGTTACTGGTTAGGTTATGAAACCTGTCTCCCCTTCGTGAATTTTACAGATATTCTGTCCCTTTGCATAGGTAGTTGCAGCTTACTGTCTGTAGGGAGGTGGGTTTAAATACTGTAAGTGGTCCTTGATACTCCCTAAACCTAGGTGTTGCCTCGTACTTCAGAGCTGTTTAGGGACTCCATTCCCAGCCAGCATCTTCAGGATATTTCTAAAACCCGATTTGGGATTTTTTTTTCCTGATGTTCCAGTTTAACCAAGCATTTTGTAGAGGGTGGGAGCCCAGTCCAGCGATTGTCTGGATTCTTTAAACTTTTTTTTTTTTTTGACTCTAATACTAAGATGCTTAATGTCTTACCTTGCTTTATCAGACGATCGGGCACGTAGGTCTCCTCGGAAGCTTCCCACTTCTTTGAAGAAGGAAGAAAGGAAGTGGGTTCCACCTAAATTCCTGCCACACAAATATGATGTCAAGCTGAAAAATGAAGATAAGGTGAGTTGTCTGCTTAAATCCTTTCTGTTATAACATGAATATGCAAGTTCAATTAAATAATCACTATAGGTGTGTCTGTACAGCACGATGTAGTACTTTCTGCCGGCATAGTGGTATTGGAAGCAGGATGGTCGTAGTTGTCTGTGAGGCTGACTAGCCTGGCTGTTTCTGTATATAATTGGGTTTTGTGCATGGGGACACCTGACAATTCCCTGGGACTACACACTGAGTCACAGTGCTACAGTAGCTTTAGAGTGGTAGCTGTTAACTGGCTAATCTCTGGTCAGGCAGTTAATGAAACTTGGTCAGAGGTAAACTAGTGAAATCAGGAGTGGCAGTTGCTGCTCTTGTTCTAACTGAGCTTCTCTGAGAGTCGTAGGTAGCTGTGCTTCGGGAAGCTCTGTGTAGCCGCAGCACTGCTGTGTGCTTTTTGTCATCTGTTTGCTAATTTGACAAGAGAGGAAGGACTGACCTCAATGTAATGAGTACCACCTGCAGAGTTACTTCTCTGGTCTCAGGAAGAAAATCAAAACAAAATAAACATTAATATGTAAAAGCTTTTAAGTTAGTAGCAAGCACAAGCTCGAGGAAAGTCAGAGATAAAGCAAGAGGCTTTGGCAAGAAATCTGCAACATGAACTAATGTTTTTTACTTTTTGGGTAACTGAATCTCCTACCAGTCTCTATTGTGCATCTCAAGTTCTGTTTGGTTTGTTTTGAGACTTCACAAGAGCGCTTTGAAACAACAAAGAGTTTGTGGACATGAAGCAGGACAGTGATCCTTGCTCCTTTTAGCTATATGATATGTATTTATGATGTGGTTAGAAGTTAAATGTTGATAGGCTGTCTGTTTTTTATCTCCAAGATCATCAGCAACGTACCAGCAGATAGCTTAGTCCGTACAGAGCGTCCTCCCAACAAGGAGATCCTGAGGTACTTCATCCGTCATAACGCCCTACGGGCCGGCACGTGTGAGAACGCCCCGTGGGTAGTGGAGGATGAGTTAGTGAAGAAATACTCTCTCCCTAGTAAATTTAGTGACTTCTTGCTTGATCCACATAAGGTAAGAATTCCTAAAAGTGCCTCCTTTGCTTTCCTAGCCATTCCTGACCCTTAAACGGTCTTGCAGAGACTTCAGTGTGCTAGTTAGGTTTTGGTGCTCCCAAGCTTACATCAGTTTAGAGAGATGCAGAGCAGGAAGGCCCGCTCTTTTGAAGACTGGTCCTTTGTGAGATGCCACAGCTCGAATGCCTGAAACAGTGGTCTGCTTTGAAAATTTGAGGTGTAACTGCCTTTTCTTGATTTATTTTTTTTTTTTCCAATAGTTTGCATTACATGTCTACAAGTAAAGACATGATTTCCTGGTGTAAGACAAATGGAAGAGTGATAGTCCTTATCTGGTAATGTCAGTTATTGGGCCCTTTTCATGGTTACAGTGCAAGAGCTGGATGGTTTGACTTCAGGATGCTTGGTTCTTGTATGGTGCTGAGTTGAGTGATGGCAGACACCACACGTTTTGTACTGAATACCCTAAGTAGCATGGATGGGTTTTTTCCCAGCCCTTTGTAATGACCAGCCAAATATACTGTTAACTGAGTAAATGCCATGTAATGAAATCAGCTGTTTTAAAATCCATCTTTGGCTGTAGAATGCACTGTTTTGTTCATTGAGTAAACTCACTTTTTCATGGACTCGGTCTTTGTCAAGTGTTGTTCTGAAACTAGAAGGGAAATATTTGCTATATCCCTTTTTCCTCATCAGGAGGAGAACACCCTTTTCTAGCAAGCTTCTATGGACTTCTGGATGCTTGTAAATTTGCTTAAAGGGAAAAATAAATTCTGCATATTTGAGCTGTGTTTACCCTTGCTGTAGTAATTGGGGTCACTGCCATAACAGAAGTAAAAGTATTTGCTGGTGATGTACAGATTCTTTTCTTCAGTGCACTGATGGGCAGCATAAAAAAAAATATGCAACTGTAACATCTTTGGTTTGACTTGCAGAAGTCTTTAGTTTTATGTTTAGGGGTGGCACTTTCCATAGCGTGTTGCCAACTTAGCATAGAGATTGAATTTATGTTGAGTTTTTAAATTCTTAGAAGTGGCTGGAGAAATTATTAATCCAGAATTAATGTTCTGTCAAAATAACTTTGTATAAGTGACAGTTGGATATAAACTGTAAGTTGTAGATCTAGTATTTGTGAATTTGTAGTTAATCATGATTCATATCAATGCTGGATGCTTTTGGCTTAGGTAATCCTCTTCAGCAAAGATTTCAACACAGAATTTTTGTAGAATGAAGTTACGCAGACACTGGATTTGGTGATTGTGCAATCTTCAGTAAAAAAATCTCTAGTGGGTTAATGAGGGCTCGTAAACTAAAGCCTTCAAGAATCCACAAGCCAGAAAATCTGAATATTCTGGTGGCAGCCTTAACTTGATCACATTTATGTATGTCTGTTCTTAATAAATGCTTCTTAGATGCTTGCACCTGTGCTTACCACTGTGGAATTTTTTATTGCCAAGGAATCTCAAATTTTCAGCCCCTGTTTTCTGGTAATTTTAGCCATAACCTAAAGGTTAGATTCTTGTATTTCATTTTTCACTACTTGAAATATATTAGTATTCTGGGTGCATCCTGAAACTGAATTTGAGATGCTTACATAGTCCTGAAATCTGTATCTTTTGGGCTCTGGGTTAAACTGTTCTGTGCTACAAGTATGCTGTCAGGTAGGCTATTTCAGCGGCTTAAAAACAGTCAGCTATTCAATCACATTACTTCAGAATTCAGTCCTGTCTCACCTTCATTCCAGATGTCTTCAGGCAGTTCAGAAAGCAGTGTCTGAACTCCTGTCACCCATCACGTCTGTGCTCCTCCAGTTTTCTGCTGGGTGGGGTGCAGGACTGAACCCTACATGACTCACTAAGAAATCTCTGAGCGGAGGAATAATTTTTGAAATTAATGTCAGCATTTTCCAGACAAACCCCGTCCCCACAACCTTTTAAGTGGGTTTATGTAATGTAGCAGGAAACTTTTAAGATTCTTTGTAGTGTTTGATTTTATAAAGTTAAATGTGAACTTTCTGGAATGAGCTAATGACCAATGTAGTGACTACAATGCAGAATGTTGCAGAGTATTGAAAGCTATTGCAGAAGCCTGTTACCCTTAATGTATTGAGTACTTCTTGTTAAATGGAAAAATACATTAAAAATAGGCAAAAATAATTGACAGAGATAACCTTTATTTACCTTTATAATTTCATTCATTCTTTATTTTTAGTATATGACTCTCAACCCCTCAACCAAGAGGAAGAGCTCTCGATCACCTGACAGAAAGCCTTCTAAGAAATCCAAAGCTGATGGATCATCCTTGGGCCATCCACTGAGCCCTACTCTGTGGTGCCATGTGCATTTGGAGAAATCTATTATTGACTCTCCACTGAAGGTGAAAAACTCTAAGAATTCAAAATGTCCTAAAGAGGAGCTGGAAGAAGTGATGAAAATCATGTCACCTGCTAAACTTGGTTCTAACTTTCACATTCCAAAGAGGAGCCAACTGGGGAAGGGTAGCAACAAATCCTTGGACAAGAAGCAAAGAGGTAAAAGGGTCTTGAATGGGCAGAAGTCATCGGGGAAATCAAAGTCTCCTAGGAAAGGCTTGAAGACCCCTAAGATGAAAATGAAACAAATGACACTACTGGACATGGCTAAAGGTACCACTAAGGTGTCCAGGACTCCCAGGAATTCAGGAGGCACCCCTAGGTCTTCCAGCAAACCCCAGAAACATCTGCCTCCTGCAGCACTCCACCTCATTGCCTATTACAAAGAAAACAAAGACCGGGAAGACAAAAAAAGTGCTCTTTCCTGCGTCATCTCCAAAACAGCTAGGTTACTCTCAAATGAGGATCGTGCTCGTCTTCCCGAGGATTTGCGGGGGTTAGTACAGAAACGCTACGAGCTTCTAGAGCACAGGAAGAAATGGGCCACCATGACGGAGGAGCAGCGAAAGGAGTACATGAAGAAGAAAAGGGAGAAGCTGAAAGAGAAACTGAAGGAGAGAGCAAAGGAGCGGAAGGAGAAGGAGATGAAGGAAAAACTGGAAAAACAGAAAAGATATGAGGACCAAGATCTCAAAGGGAAGACCTTGCCTACTTTTAAACTGGTTGATACTCCAGAAGGACTTCCTAATACACTCTTTGGGGACGTCGCCATGGTGGTGGAGTTCCTGAGCTGTTACTCGGGGTTATTGATGCCAGATGGTCAATATCCCATTACGGCAGTTTCTCTGATGGAAGCACTTTGCGCAGAAAAGGGAGGCTTCCTTTATTTGAACCGAGTACTGGTCATTCTCTTGCAGACCCTGCTGCAGGACGAAATTGCTGAAGATTATGCTGAGCTGGGAATGAAACTTTCTGAAATACCACTTACTTTGCATTCTGCTTCTGAGTTGGTTCGCCTATGCCTACGCAAGTCAGATGTGCAAGAGGAAAGTGAGGTCTCGGATAATGTAGACGAAAGCAAGGATTCGGCAGCTTTTGAGGATAATGAAGTACAGGATGAGTTTTTGGAGAAACTGGAGACATCGGAGTTCTTTGAGTTGACTCCTGAAGAGAAATTGCGGATACTTGGAGCGCTGTGCCACCGGATTCTAATGACGTACTCAGTGCAGGATCATGTGGAGGCCAAGCAGCAGACGTCAGCTGAGCTGTGGAAGGAGCGCCTAGCTATCCTGAAGGAAGAAAATGACAAGAAGAGGGCAGAAAAAAAGAAGCGAAAAGAAATGGTGGCCAAGAACAAGGAGAATGGGAAAGATGAGAATATGATGGGAAGAAATGAAAAGAAAAAAAATGAGATGATGAAAATAGAGCACCGGGTAGAAATAGAAGCTGATGATATGATCAGTGCTGTGAAGAGCAGGCGCCTTCTTGCCATCCAAGCCAAAAAAGAGAGGGAACAACAAGAAATACAAATGAGAGGTAAGAAAAATACCAGGAGAGTAGAGCGTTTCTGTGTTGTGGAGTAAAGGGGAATAATTTAATGGCAAGATTGGCAGCCTGTTTTCAAAAGCGTTACCTGGTTTTAGGGGATTTACTCACCGGAGAGGTATAATTCAGCTGCTATGTTTCCTATGGCAGCTCAAAATCTGGAATGTTAAGAAAAAACAAGTTTAATTCATTCTTTTGAACTCCACAAGGAAAACGTAGGTCTCAATAGCAGGTAAGGAAGGATTAAACCTTTCATTAAGGTTTGAATTCATATTGCTTCTTTTCCACGTAACAAACCCCAACATTTCAGGCATCCAGGGTTGCTTCTACCTGTTAAGCAGTTGCTACCAGTCAAAAAGGTACCCTCAAAGTATCAAAGATCTTGGTTAATGTTGATGGTGCAGTAGTTAGGGCTGCAGGGTTAGCAGCTCGGAGCTGATCTGTTCAGGACTTCAGACTTAGGGGCTGGTGTGGTTTCAGCATGTGAAAAATAGTTCTGTATAACCACGAGAACTACACCAGTGTGCTTCTACCATCACGTGGGCTTTCTGTGGGCTTTTTCAGCATACTGGCTTTCACACCACTTCAGTTGCATTTGCTTTTAATAATGTTACTATCTCTAGGGGAAGTAAAAGAGTAGTTGCTCACAAAACACCTATTGTGCAGTGGTTCAGTATTCATATATATGAACCACTGCACCATAGGTGTTTTGTCGGCAAACTACTCTTTTACATGTCTATAGACATCTATCTCACAGTCAGAGGTTTCTTTTTCACCACTCTGGTAACATCTGTAACACTGAGAGCACTAACCTCCTTCAAGTTAAACCTATCAAGATTGTGGCCAGTGCTACCTAACTGGTCTCGGCACAAAAGAGAACCCAGTGTAAGAAAGCATAAATGTTTTTTTTTTCGTTCTTCCTGTTGAGATAACATGATTAATATCTGTATTTTCTTGATAGTAAAAGTCAAGTCACTTCCATTTCCATGTTACTGCAGCACTTAGTAATTGTTCTTGCCTTATCGCTCCATGAAGCAATAGTTCCCATGCAGTCTGTTAGAAGAGAATGAAGAGCTGGAAGCTTATACAGCTAACGAAGCCTGCTAGAGAGGAAAGTACCGAGACTAGCTTGCCATCACAATTCAAAATGAGATGTGGGGAGGAACCCTTTAGTTTGGTGTCTTTTGTTCTCATTTTCTTTGAACAGTTTTGGCATGAGTAAATTTAAGTTTCTGTTCTTTCCTTGTCTCTTCCTTATTCTGGCACTTGATGCTACCTGCTGCAACTGGTCCATACAGTTGGATAGAAAAATACCTGTCTCAGGAGTGCCCACGATATCCCATGTTGTAAGCCTTGAAAAGTTTGCTGGCAGTATGGCTTGTTTTGGTTGGAGTCTTGGCTCTTGAGGGGATGGTACTGAGGAGGACGAGGGAAGTGTGCTCGCACCTTGTGCTAGCATCATAGAATCACAGGTTTAGGTTGAAAGGGACCTTAAAGACCATCTAATTCCACCCTCTTTGCCCAGGACAGGGACACCTCCCACCAGACCAGGTTGCTCCAAGCCCTGCCCAACCTGCCCTTGAACATCTCCAGGGATGGGGCACACACAGCTTCTCTGGGCAACCCGTGCCAGGGGCTCACCACCCTCATAGTGAAAAATTTCTTCCTGATATCTAATCTAAATCTTCCCTCTTCCAGTTTGAAGCCATTACCCCTCATCATCTAATGGTTGGACTTGATGATCTTAAAGGTCACTTCCAACCTCAGCGATTCTATGATTCTGTCCTATCAGTACATGCCCTTGTAAAAAGTCCCTCTCCAGCTTTCTTGTAGGCCCCCTTGTTGTGGCTTGGGGCTCAAACCGGGGCACCCCTTCAGATACTGGAAGAGCCTATAAGGTCTCCCTGGAGCCTTCTCTTGTTCAGGCGGAACAGCCCCAACTCTCTCAGCCTCTCCTCATAGCAGAAGTGCTCCTCTCCTATGAAGAGGAGAGGTGACAGCAGCAAGAGGTGTTCCTCTCCTATAGGAGCAGCAAGTCTTGAGAAGGTGCCAAGGAGAGAAATCCTGGGGGAATCACATCATCTCTGTCTTCTTCTAGTAGAAGATGAGAGCAGTACTTCCTGTAGCATGGGGTCTCCTGATGTGGTTTGTGTGACTCATTTAGGTGACATGAGGCTTTTGGTACTGTGAGAGTGGCTGTTGTGATTTCGGTACTTTGACATAGGGAGACATCATAAGGTTTAGAGAGGAGTTGATATTTACAGACATATGGGTTGTTGGCTGCTTGTGTCTGGCAGGTAGAGATTAACAGGGCAATTTTGCCATGCTGCAATTACTGTAGCTTGGTATATTGTTGGTATATTATTGTAAAAAAGCTGATATATTGAGTTGGTGTTACAAATGCAAGAGTGTGTTTTTCAGCATGTCTCCTCTAATCAGTCAGGATTGATTACATTGGCAGGGCTTCAGAGACTTACCAGGTATTAACTAATCAACTGTTATCAAACCTATCTTGATACAGAAAATGGCTGCAAGAGAAAGAGTAGGTAGTAGCCTTGGGAAAAGTCCTCGCAAGAAGTTAGCTTTCTCCCTGGGACAGCAGCCAGCGTATAACCTCTATGCTCGCTTTTACCTGCCTCACTCCACCTCACCCCTTCCATATGATCTCATTCCATCTGCTTCAAACCCTCCTTTGTGATGCAAAGATAAGTATTCATTTCTTCGTCCTTTTTATTTTTCTTCCTCAAGTTTTCTCAGGACACAGAAAAATGTTGCCCATAGCTTTTTGTGCAGGTTGTTGGAGGGGTAATGTTTTTGTTAGACTGAGATCAGGCTCCAAAGAGCCAGTGGGACTCAATTTGAGGTTTTGTTGCTTTTTGTTCTGGCAGTTCTTGGTGAAAGTACACGTATTCTTCAGAGGTGGGCAAAAGTATAGGGAGACTCTTGAACCATCACGAGAAGCATAAATGTTTTATCTCTTGGCAGAAGCTGCCTTTATTCTTGCTCTTTACCTAGAGATGTGAAGTGACATGTTTTATTCTGTAAGTCTCTCACCGAGGAGCCTGTGATGCCAGGATTTAGGCCACTTCATATTTTTCTTTCACCTCTTTTTTTAACAGTCACAGACCCTGAGAGCTACTGAAATGCCAGTACTTCTGTCATGAGTGGGAAACCTGAGGTTTCTGTTCTAATGCTCTTCCACGTCATAACATATACAGGAAAGTATGAGGTGTTAGGAGATATGAGTTGGTCTCTGTTGTGAGACAGTTGTGCCTGGAAGAGGCCTCTGTTGTGCCAGATCTGTTTTTTGGTAGGTAAGGTCATGGGGAGAGTGTTCACCATAGCTGCAGCTGTGGAAATGCAGGTGTCTGATAGCCACACCAACCTCTGTGGTGTCACAGCTGGACCACTCCCAGCACTTGACCTGGCCAGAGCAGAAGTCCTTGTTGTATATTATGCTGTTGTTAAAGATCTTTGACTCTGTTGTTATATGGGATTGCCCAGCAATGGATGCCACTTTGTTGCTATAGAAAGAGGAATAATAATGAGGACTAATTTCTCCTGATTTTATCCAGACTTTCTTCTTTCCCCAGCCCAGCTTGTCCTTATGCCTTTGCTTCTTAATATTTCTTGAGTTTTTTCTATAATGGTGGGTGGAAATTAAGATGAAGGGTGGATGGCTGTGCTAAAAGAATGTTAATCAAAGTCGCCAATATTATTTTTTTTTGGTTTTTTACCCTCATGGTGTGGTAAAATAAAATACAATATTGATGTCTGGGTACAATAAAAGAAATCTAATACTTCTCTGTGCTAATTCCAACAGTGAGGATGGAGAAAGAAGCGGAGGAAGAAAGAATCCGGAAGCATAAAGCTGCAGCTGAGAAGATTTTCCAGGATGGAATTGCCAAAGCGAAGCTGGTGATGCGCAGGACCCCAGTTGGCACCGATCGTAATCATAACAGGTAGGAAAGGAAGCTCACTTGCCAGCTCTCTCCTCTGAGAGGAGCTTTATCAGATAGCAGCCCCCAAGAAGTGATTGATCAGAGGGTGCTGAGAGGACTCCCTATGTATTGAACTGTGGAGCAGAGTAGAAGTGAGTTGTTTGTGCATGTAGAGTGTAACGGCTGTCTCTGGTTTACATGGCCAGCTTTTTGAGGCCTTCTGTGGAGGTCAGGATCCAGTAGCCAGTGGAGCTTCAAGTGCTTGCATCAGTGCTCAAGAACCTAATTACCACCTTCGTCTTTTTTTCATGTTTGTTGCACAGGAATGCTCTTAGAATGGATTCTTATAAAAGCTTTCCATGTTTCTCAACTGTGCTAATATAAAGATATACATGCATCCAATTTTTATTGAGGCAAGCACACAGATGCTTCTCCACTCTATGCAAATAAAGGCAGATGTGTGTAAACAGCCAGAAGAGGAGATGGGTACCTGTTAACATGTGTTTCCTACAGATACTGGCTGTTTTCTGATGAGGTTCCTGGCTTGTTCATTGAGAAAGGCTGGGTACATGATGGTATAGACTACAGATTCCTCCTTCCCCATCAGAAAAGAGAAGACTTTAAGAAGGACTACAGCCCCGGAGGTATGATCAGCTTGCTTCTCTGTGGGTATTTCCTTTGTTGCTCTCTGACTGTTAGAATGGATTCGTGAATGTGAGAGAGAACTGTCTACTCTGAGTGTTTTCATGGGGATACTCTGATTTAAGCCACCTTTAAACTCTAGAAGCCTGCCCACAGGACAGTCTGCTCGTGATGATCTCCCTCCTGCTGCGGCAGGTCTCAAGACCGCCTGCAATGTACCACATAAAAACCATGGGATACAATCACCTCTCTCTTAAAAGCAGCGAGGTTGATGTCAATTGTGGACTAATCCCTCTGCTTTACTCTGACCCTGCTGAGTTGCAGTGTGCCAGACTTCGTGGACAAGGAGTCAGTTGTGTGCTGCAGAGAGTGAGGGTATCCATGCCAATGTGAACGCTCCACCGGCCGCAAGACTCCCTGATTAACCTGTGAAACAGCAGCAGGACAATCTTCTAGAAACCTATAGCTTTGCTTATTGATGCCATTTTGGCAAACAGTCCCCTTGCACATATCCTCTCAGCTCGCTGTTCACCGTGCACTGAACGTGCAGGTGAGGTGTGACATCTAGCTGAAGTTCTAGTGCTTCTTCTGTAATTTTGCCTGGCTGACTTGGAGCTGGGGTGGTGGAGCCTTGCAGGCAGAACTCGGACATGCACGAAAGTCAACCTGTGGGGAGGGAAACTTAACAATTCCATGTGGAAATAGTTCTTGGTACAGAAGAGCATGCTATAATCTCACTCCAGTTGCAGTTTTAGTCCTGATTGTTTCTTGCTTTTGAAGCATCATAGGCTGACATCAAGCCCATCCACAGCCATACTGCATGTGAGAGGCTATATTGAGTTAAATCAGAGAGCCCTCCCCTGGTGGCACTTTGTCTTAGACAATGGGCAGAGTACACAGCTGTAGAAGAATGAAACAGGGCAAACCTACAGTGAGATACTTCACCCAGCATGTAACTTTCCAGCCACCTGTGTCTTGGTGGCTTGTTGAGCTGGAAGTAGGATCGTTCAGTGGCCCTCGATGGCTGTATTTTCTTATGTGAACTTTTTCAAATACTGACCAGCCGTGTTCCTGTACAGCAGCTTGCTTCCAGCTGTATTAAGGTCCCAACTGCTATCTATGTATTTACCCAGCTAGCGTGCAAGATTTTGGCACGTTCCTTTTGAAACTTAACAAGCAAAGGCTTAAATAACCAAAGGTTTAAATTTATGTCAGACTGTTGTCTAAAATGCTCAGAAATGCAAATACATCCTATTTATAACTCATTCAGTTCTAAAAGTACTTTGTCAGTATATAGCCAAAAAGTAACACTAGTTTTATGTATTTGAAGTAGTAGGAATGCTTTTCTTAATTTAATGTATGTGCTTTATGATGCAGTAATCTTTTAAAAATCTGTTATATTTTTTTGTATTTCTATAAATGCACATACTGTGAGCTTTAGCAAACTAAAGATGGATTAGTTTTCCCTGTCAAATGTATTGCTGGCCTAGATGCTGAATGTGAACACTTAACTGGAGATAAGTTAGTTTTTGCAAAATAAAAATGCTCGCTGGCGAGGAAGATGAATGAGAATACACTTGAGCTTGTGCTTTTCTTTCACAGACAAGCGGAAGAGTGCAGCTGCCGATGGCAAAGTGAGCAAGCTTCCCCGATCCATGCCTACTGCAGACCTTCCTGCAGAGACCACGGTGCCCAAACAGGGACAGAACTTATGGTAACACACGCTTTTATAGCTGCGAAGTACTCAAAGCAGAGAGGTCGAGGAAACTAGATGGATTTCTTTTGATAGACCCTACTATATACCTATTAGTCTTTCAGTGCTTAACAGCTGAATTAGTTTAGCAGTTCTCCATCCCTCTGTTACTGATGTTATTAGTAGTGAATGGCTAACAGGGCAGCCAGTCCAGGAGCCAGTGGAACCATTATAATCAACCTAATCAATCAGACTTAAAGGCAGGATAAATTAAGCTGGTAAAATGCTACTTTGTACTGCTTTTTAAATATTTTATATTCAGAAGAATTGTTAATTTGAAAGAATTGCTGTGTGCTTTTTTCAGTATTGGTACTTTAAAATTAAAAATAAGAGGAGGAGGGGAACAATGACCTAGCTAAGTGTGTCTAGATTTTCTTCCATGGTTCATCTCAGCAGACTTGGAATTGTGGCACATGGGGTCCTTGAGCAAATGAAATTAAAGTCTTCATTGAGATCTTTGGAGACAGGCTTATATCCTGTGCGTTCTTGTACTATGTATGACGTGCAGATCCATCCCCCAGCTCTTTGTCGGTGTCTTCTTCCTAGGCTTCACAGCAGGCTGTGGTGGTGTCCTTTTGTTCTCCTGTAGCACCATATCATGGAATCATTTTTTGTTGCTAGTGATAATTACAGAGTAGCAAAAATATTCTTCCATGTTGATGGCCTGTTATCCCTTCAGTGCTTCCCAGTGCCAAGCAGTAGCCACCAGTGTGTCTTCTAAGTGAATCAAATCTAAATGCTCTACCTTTTGAGCATGTTTGATTGTGGCTTGCTCCAGTAATTTGCCCTACCAATGTCTTTTATCTTTAAAGAAAATCTCCTATGCCTACTGTTACCCTGCGTGGTAGTGAGGGATCGGCAATGTCCCCATGCCAGAAAATACTGGCTTTACCTACTAAACTGCCTGTGAAGGACTCTGCATATTTTTTTAATTTTTTTTTATAGATAACCCTGAGAAGTAACTGTCACAAAGTACTTGCTCCTGCAGCTCTCCTATTAGCAGTGGCTTTTCCCCAGAGTTTTCCACTGCTGACACACAAAATGGGGTTACTCAGTCTTTGATAAATAGCACCAGTTATGAGCTTAGCTCCAAAGCATAGTTCCACTGCTGCAAGTCAAGAACTACTTTTCTAAAGATGTTCCTGTTCCCCCACCAGGAACTCTCAAGAGACTGAAAATAGTTTATGTCTTGGTTCATCTAAACCATGCTGACTCTTTGTATTGCTCTACCCCTTCTCTTTCATTGCTAGCAGGTCACAGGAAATAGCGGAGTTTCCTCTGTCCAGTATTGCTGTGACAGATCTCCACCCTTTTCTCAGTCTTGTCCTTTGCACATCTTGTCACATGGCCAAAATTGAAGCAGTTGGGCTTTCCTGGGTCATGGGTGCTAAACAGGAGCTTGTAGAGGACAGTATGATCCACAGGGAAGTCTTCTCTGCTCTTTCAGACTGCCTCTTCTAATACTCTATCTTCATTTAGCAGAGATGGCAAGATGTGTTCCAGTAGAAGGAAAACAATAGCTTAAATTAATAGTGCATATTGCTACAAACTGAAGACAACATAGAGCCAAATCGGATGAGTTAAGTAACAGAATCTCTGCAACGTGTAATTTCAGGCGGAACTTGAAAAAGCATAGTATTTGATATTAGTCTTGATTTGCTCAATCAGGTTGGCAACTCTCAATGAGGTGCTGAGAGAGATCAGAGTGGTTACAAAGGTAGGAGTCTTTACAGAGTAACTAGTCATACAGCCCAGGAGAATCATAGAATCACAGAATGGTTTAGGTTGGGAGGGGACCTTAAAGATCATCTAGTTCCAACCTTCCTGCTATGGGCAGGGACACCTCCCACTAGCAGCAGCTCTTTGAACCAGGCCCTGTACACTCAGGACTAAATTATGTTCTGTTACTAAGAGCTGTTTTATATGAAGCAACCATAATATATGGTATTCTCCTTTTTTAAAAAAAGAGACCAACAGAAAGAATTACAAAGGTTGTTTAAAAGGGAAAAAAAAGCTTAAAGTGGCATCAAAAAGCCTAAAATGCTTTCAAAGAGATTGTCTTAAAGTTTCCATACTAGATGGTGAAAGCAAGTGCCACCTCTTACCTTTGAAAAAAAGGTTTGAGGAAACTTGGAAACAAAACAACAGCAACAAAGCATTCCCAGTATGGTTCATATCAGGATAAGGAAGCTATTAAAAGAAAGAAGGCCTACTTAAAAACTGGTTGAGTCTAAATGAAGGAAATAATAAAAAGGATGATAAACTGAAGTACAGATTAAGGGCAAAACAATTTTTTTCTTTTTTTTTTTTTCCTTGGGGAACAATCTTGCTTCACGAGATCTGTTGTTAGAGGGCCTGCCTTAGGATAAGAGGGAAGCTCTTCTCATGAGTGAATAATTGGCTAAGAAATATGAAACATATTACAGAAATGCTCTAATTCGCATGTTCAGCATCAGGGAGCTGGAGAGTAATGCTAGAGGAGAAGGGGAAAGTCTCTTAAAGAGGATTTTCTCTTGATTCAGAAAAAAGGGATCAGGAAATTAAACTAGCAAATGGCAGTTTTGAAATAGGAAAGTGCTACTTCAGATCCTATAGCTGACGTATGCAACTCACTGCTATCAGCTGCTGTGGATCTTCAAATTTGTGCCTGCTCAAAGCACTGGTTGGACAAATTGCTGAAAGAGGAGTTCATTGAGGAGTATTTAGCACAAAGATTCTTGTCCTGGCACACAAGGAAGACCTCAAACTAGCAGATGCTAAAACCTGTAAGGGCAGATGGAAGAAATGTCACTGCATGCCTGCTCTGCCCTTTTGCCACACAGAAATAAGATACTGAGCTGGGTGGGGTATTTTTTGGCCTTGGCTCTTACGCCCCAGCGTCTTTGATTTCTGTCCCTTTTGGTACCTGCTAGGAAAGACTGCTGACAATCACAGCACTTGCTGAGTTTTTACTGAATGTATTGTGCCTGTGTGCACAGTTCTGCCAAGCAGGTTGGCAGTGTTGGGATGTCAAGGTAGAGCAATGCAAATGGAAGATCTCAGCCAGATGTAGGCCTTCATGCCCTTGAAGTGAACAGGGCAGCTTTTCAAAGAAAACGTAACCACTTCTAACTTAGCATTCTTCTGTGCTGTCTGCATGACTTTCTTCTAACTGACAGGGCCACCTAAAGCCATTTCTGCAGATATGCAGTAAGCTTCCTCAGCTGAAAGACTTTTCTTTAAAGCTCTAGAACTGCAAAGAGCCTGTTGGCTAAGAACCTGTCTGACAGCTGTCACCATTTACAGGTAAGCTTCCACAAAAAGACAAGTGACAACCTGAGAGCTGTTATTTCAGGGGCTAGCCAGTAACTAGAACTTCCCTCTGAGGAAATACATGTTCCTATTGCTGCATTTTCCTCTGTGGCCATTGCCATTGATCTTGCCAGTCTGAAGGCCTCCCATGAGCATGAATGGTTTTGGAAGCGTCTCGTCCTTGGCTGAGTCTTGCACATTGTCCTTGCACACCCTGAGAAACCCTGAGACCACACTGAAGTCCTTGGATATCTACACCCCCTGTTGTTTGGATACAAGGACTTGTTCAGCTATAACTCATAATGTTAGCATGTGGTGTATAGGAAGTGTCATTTCTTTGTGTTCTGCTTTAACTCCTGCCATCTGTCTCTCTTTACTGGTATTACATCTAACATGGGATTGAGAGTAGCCTTGCAGTGCACATAGAGCATCTTTAGACTTACCCTTTTATACTCTAGAGTGATGAGACTTTGACATGAAAACCAAATTAATTCCTTGAATGGCTGTATTTCGCAGTCCTGCCCCTTTCCTCCTTGAGGATGGGAGCTGCTTGGGCATTGATAAAGGGAGAAATAGATTCCATACTTCTGCCAAGAGCTACGGAAACAGTATCTCATGGAAGTGTTTTCTGCTTTCAGTACTTTGTCCCCAAAATGAAGAGGGCCCAGTGTTCGGTCCTAAAAGTGCAGAGGCTGAGTGGTCATTCTCATTCAGAGTCATAACTGTTTGGCTATACTGTCTTCTCCAGACAGATGGACCAGTCCCATTTCTAACATTGTGTGCCACTTTCACTGATGTTGAAGCTTACTGAAAAATCTCCCCGTTTAAAGCTTCTGGGCCCAATGTCCCTGAAGAAGACTTTTGTCCATACTGTAGTGCTTCATGAGCTGTGTACACGTGGTCTTTCCTGCAAGAACCACAGGTTAATCACAGCCTTTGCGGTGTATTAGCATGCAGGAGACTTCTTGCTCATCCTGGTCAGAAAGCAGTTGAATTTTGGAAACAGTGGCATCTCTGCGGAGTAACTCCCATTGTTCTTCATCTATTAGGAATACACCATGATATGGCGGGTCCCCTCAGCAGACAATTTGAGTTAACCATGAGTGAGTGCTGACAGACTCCATTCTCACGCCTATATTCTACAGATGGAGTTCCCCTGTTTCCACCAACCCTCCAGAGCAGGTACTGATCCTGGGCTCCTCTAGATGTTGTCCTCTTGATTTCTTCATTCCCTAGTCTGCAGTCCAGGTTTTATAGCTTTATCTGTTCCTTGCAGCCTGTAGCCTGAGAACAGGTAGGAATATTCAGCCTGAGTGAATACTGAGAGCTCCTTTTGACTTGATGCTTGTGCCATTTGTTCCTTCTGTTTTGATTGCTGACCGGTCTGCTGGCCTGTGCTGCCAGGAATGTGAGAAGAGAATCTAGGCTGTTATTTAGGGATGTGGGAAGCCCTTTCCCCCTTTCAGATCAGTTTGAAGACCTCCATCTGGTCTTGACTGTCCCATCACTCTGGATCGTGTTATTAAGGTCTGTGTCAGGCCGCATGAAGGGCACCAATTGCCTTCCCCTCCCTCTTATCAAGACCCACCAGCTATTGCCTTCCTCCTTTAAAATGCCAGCTCTGTTTTATCGTATCCGTGCTCCCAGCCTCGTGCTGATGGAGCCCTCATTGGACGTGCAGGTGGTTCCTTCAGGTAGCAGAGAGTGCATGGAGCTACGTTGAGAACCAGGAGCTGTGGCTGCACAGAGCAGCAAGGTGTCACCAATCAAACTAACACAGGTATTTCTTTGAGATGTTAATATTTTGCATATATTATATTTTGAGTTCAAGCTGATGTAGAACAGCTCTCTCTCCCAGAAATCCCAGTTCTTACTCTCAGGGTGAATTGGGAAGACTCAAATACCTGTTGCAGATGTTCTCCCTTCCCTGCCTCATTTCCTTTTCCGCAGGAACAAAGTTGTGCCAGGGCTAAATCCTAACTTTCTTAAAAGGATGATACCTGTTTTCTCACGCTGGCCAGCAGCCTGCGTTGTCTTTCCCCAAACAACATAACACTGGAGAATGCAAGTGCCGTATTCTGTTTCCAGTGCCCTTTCATTTTTACAGTAAAGACAAAACTGTGCAGGGAATTCCCCCCTTAGGTTTGCAGCCGCAAGGTCAAGCTGAGAAAGCTGGGGTATGGCCTTCTCAGATATTTTTTCCAACTGGATCCTGTGGTATATCACCAGCAGTGACTGATGTTTCATCATGACCTAGGTAACCTTCTCAACATGCCTGAGCAATAGTCCTCTGCTGGATATCTGCAGGGCAACTGTTTTGAAACTTGGTTTATGCCATTCCCGTATTGTGACAGATTCTTTGTACTGAAATACAGCTTAGGACCAGTCCTAAGGTTTGGAAGCAGTTTGATACCAAATATTCTACAGAAATTTATCTTTATTTAGCAGAAGTACAGTAGACTTAGAAATGCTAGTCCATGCAGTGGTCTGTCTGTAGACCTTCAGTGACTGTAGGAATGCTAATTAGTCACTGTAAGTGGCATCTGTAAGAAAAAGACACAAGTTATATTGTTACGGGTTTGTGTGAAGGCCTCTTGGATCCCATGACCAGCCCTTAATCGTTACTACTTCTGAAGTGCCTGTGATAGGCTCTAGTGGGCGACAGATGTTTGGAGTTGCTCTGTCCTGTTTCTCGCGGGGAGAGTGTGCAGAGGATAGTGGTGGCCAAACAATTTGATCTCAGTGTGCAAAGTGAGGATGCTCTGCAGGGTCAGAGTACGCTGAAGCAGGTGACTGGCAGGAAACTACTTTTCTTCCATTTTTGAAGTATCAATCCTATGTTTTATTAGAGTAATTAATTTACTAACTGAATGCAAATTGTGAGGCCATTCCCCTAATATGAGCATACTAGACCTCTGAAATATTTTCTTTTCAGATATGATATTTAGTAAGTATTTCTGCCAGAAAATAAGCATTGTGAGTACTCTTATTCCAAGAGGAGCCAGAACAGCATCTTTTCTCTAGTTGTTGCTTGGCTCATCTGAGCTTGTGCCCAAGAAGAAAAATTAGATCTGGAGTCTCCTCTGTGGCTGGTAAGGATCACGTAGTGGTCCTTTGCAGTTGTTTCCTTATAAGGTTGATGTTGCTATTCCTTCACCTCCCTCTTCTTAGGAGCAGTCCTCTTCTAGAAGATAGTCTTATTTTCTGTAAATGAGCTCTGAAGCTCAGATGGAATCCCTGCCCCCATCAGGTGAGGAGCCTCCGTGGCATCCTAGAGTAGAGTTGGAAAGAAGGAAAAGAGCAGAACTTGAGGCTGTCTTAAGCTAGTTTAGATCTACAAGCCAGCATTAAAACTTGATTGTACTCTGGAATGGCAGAGAGAGTGCCTTGTGTAGAGAACTCTGCAAAAGGTTTCCCTTTTTAGATTCAGCTGACTGCTGATTTCCATTGCTGTCATGAAGGACTTTCTGAGCAGAAAGCTTTAAAGCTAACGAGTATCGTTTTCACACACTACATTTGAGCTTTTGAGTTATGCCGAGCTTCTTAGAAAGGAGGACTTCTGCACTTGCAGAGGGCATAGCATTCACAGTCACAGATCTCCATCATCAGCGACTGTGGTATAAGCTAGGATATATCCTTTGTTAATATAGGGACTTCTTGGGTTAATGAAAGAAGTCAAAGGTTCTGCCGAAAGAATGATTAAATTGCTGTGCTACGCAGTGCATAACATGTTAATCTTCTCTAGTGTATCTAAAATGACATTCAGATTACTTAAACTGACTGCAGCTTAGTGATTCTGATCCCTGGGGTAGATGACTAAATTCAAATGCCAATGTTTTAATAAACTTAATGGGGAAAAATCTATAAATCAGTTCTGTGTTTATTTTGTTTTTATTTCTCCTACCGTGGAACTGGCTACATTTGGGGACCTTGAAACAAGGCCAATCTGAGTCAGAATGCTTATGCCAGCATTACTGGAAGTGTTTCACCTTGCTCCACGGGTTTGGGCTATAGGTTACTTGTCATCCCTGCCTACTAACACGTGAGAACTATTTAGAAGAAGGAATTGTCTTGCCACAGAGATATGTTAGCTGATGTTGGTGCGTGTTATATCTTTCAGGTTTCTCTGTGACAATCAGAAGGATTTGGATGAGCTGCTGGGTTGCCTACACCCGCAAGGAGTACGAGAGAGCCAGCTAAAGGAGCGTTTGGAGAAAAAGTGAGCCTGCTGTCTTTTTTTTTTTTTTTTACTTTTTCCCCTCTCTGTACTTTCTCAAAGTCAAAGTGTAGCCTCGTCACAGCAAGCCTTTCCATTCCTGTGGAAGCATTCTGTGCTTTGCTTTGATCTTGCCTGTGCTGAAGAGATATTGAGGAGGAGAAATTGCTGTTTTTCTTGGGCAGTAACTGCAGGTTCTTGACAAGTAATGCTCTAAAATGTGAAGAGGTTCTGTCAGTCTTTAAATTGCTCATTGCCACTGGAAACAAAGGCAGTGCTGTTTCACTTACAGAGCCAGAACTACCATGTGCTTTCAAGCGTATTTTAAAGAACGTTCTGCACTGGTGGAGCATGTAGATCACGATGGATACCATTGTTGCCCTGGTGCCTGCACAGCTCACAGGGCAGTGCCCTGCATGTGTTCAAAGGTTGTTTTTGATTTTTCCAGGTATCAGGACATCACACATTCTATCCATTTGGCTCGGAAACAGAACTTGGGCCTCAAATCCTGTGATGGCAACCAGGAACTGCTGAACTACCTCCGAAGTGATCTTATTGAGGTTGCAACTCGGTTGCAAAAAGGAGGCCTGGGATACGTTGATGTGACACCAGAATATGAAGCAAGAGTGAGTGGACAGGCAAAGTAGTACTGAGCAAGACAAGTGCAAGCTGATACTTTCTGTGGAAGGTCTTGAGTCTTTTGTTCTCATCAGACAAGAGGATCAGGAAAATCAGTCTTCTCATATGTCCTCTCTTTCTAATCTATTATTTCAAGATTACATAGCTGCTGGCTTGAGATCCTTTTGGTGTAGGTGGGTCATAATGTTGGAGCTAAGTGTCCTGCACAGCTGTTAAATTGTCCCGTTTCCTTCATCTGGTGGCGGACTTCTTATGGAGCATTAGCAGAACTTCTTGTAGCTGATTTTTAGCTTCTGCATCAGAGCCAGCCTGTCTTGTTGAGTCAGAAGTTTTACATTTTGGAGGTGGTTTTTTTTTTTGTTTTTTCATAAATTCAGACCGTCTTAGAGTTGGGTAATGATTGTGTCCCAGTTCCAGGACCTAAAGGATGTTCTTCTGTTCGTGGGTATGTCAGCACAAGGAAGTTACTGTGCAGTGAACTAAAGTATGAATTTTTAGTGCTCTGGCTAGTTCAGCCTAACTCACATGAGCATTACTGGTGCACTGAGCGTCTTTAGGAGGGGATAAATCTGCCCGGTGTGGGTAGAGTACACACTCCTGAGACTAGTGTGTGCTCCTCCTACCAAAGGATGACATTGTCTGGCTTATGGTTTATTCTGCATCCTGAATCACAGCAGAGACTTTCCTGTGTAGATGAGACCATAAGTGTTAAGAGGAGGGGAAAAGTGAAGTCACTAAAGGAGTGGAAGAATTGGCTTATTGCTTGCTTGGTCATTGTGGATTTGGGTTTTGAGGGGGTTTTAGTGTTTGGGTTTTGTGTTGTTTTTTCTTTTTTCAAGGCATGATGCTTTTTTCTGAACATTGTTATGCATGATCATGATCTATGTGTAAAGTCTAGCAGAAGTGGCAGCAATATGCTGGTTCCATAACCAAGTATGGTAGATAACAATGCTGCATTAAGTGTCACGTGTATCCATTTGCAGGACAGGCCCACCTAAAACAGCAGAGAGAGTAACATCCAACTGTTATGTGATCATATGCTCTTCCTAACAGGTATACTCACTAGAGAGCTTGAAGGATTTTGGAGAGTGTGTGATTGCACTCCAAGCTGGTGTTGTTAAGAAGTTTCTGCAAGGTTTCATGGCCCCCAAGCAGAAGAGAAGGAAACATCAAGGAGAAGACTACATTGCCAAGGCTGAGGAGATAGATGAAGACAAGAAAATGGCAGAAGAAGCTAAGGTATTGTTCACTTCAGGGCTCTGTTTCAGTCTTGTAAGATACCTCTTTGAGCAGGGACAACATGTTTCATCACGTACTAAATCCTGAGCAGCTTCTCCCCATTCCAAGTTTAGAGTGCAATGGGTTTGTTGTTTATGGGGCCAGGTGTTGCCTGGTTATTTTGAAGAGTAAAGGTATTGGCCAAATGAAAATCATACTGTGGAGTCACGGTTAATTTTCTCTCTATGAACAGGAAATGGGTCAAGTCAAATATTTTACTTCCTTCGTCCAATTTCTCACACAAGTTGGGTACTTTAATAATAGCATATTAGGGAGCATTTTTAGATTACTTAAGAAGAGTTGTATACATCGGAGAGGACTGATGGTGGCTTATTTGATCCATGAAGAGGAGGAGAGACGTGGTGAGGTTTTGGTGACTGCAAGGGAGTTAGGTTCAGGTTAATAATATCGTGTGCATGGAGATACCCACAGAAGATGCCAAACTATTCAAAATCACAGCTTGTCTGGGCAAACAAGCTGTGTGTGCCTGCAGTGGTAAAGTGGTATTGTGAGGGTGAATACATAGCCTTCCAAATCCAAGTTCAGAAGGGATGGAGGAGAGCTGCGGAGGATCTGGTAGGGTCCTACAGGCAGTTGGGCTGTTCCAGTGTTGCATCCTAAGAGGAATACTAGTGCTCTGGGGTAGTTTCTGTGCACTGAGTTGAATGAGACGTTAGTGGACCATGACAAGACTTTCCCCACTGCCCCCTTCAAAGTGCTCTGCCCTGGTCGATCGCTGACTTTAGCAGAAGTAGCAAGATCAGAAGCATTTGATATTCCCAGCTTAAAAAAGAAACATTAGATGCATGACTGGTACTGGGGGGTGGGAGTGGCTTTGGTTTTATTTTTTGGGGTTTTTTGTCAGTGGATGTTGAACCCTTGTTTCAACATCAAGTCTTGGCTATGCTGTGGCATTGCCATGTTAGCAAGATACTTGGATAGGCACTGAAAATTTTCACATTCCAGTTGTGCTGAAGTATTTAAACTTTGCTAACTCTTTGAATCTTCCAGTCTTTAGTGCAGTGGGAATAGAAGGGTACCCTACCCTAAAAGCTATCTGCAGACTAGAGAGCTATAAAAATCAATTATGTCTGGGACTAATAGGACCTGGATCATCCCATTTCCTCTGTCTACAGCAACGCCATATCATGCCTTACTCTTATGTGTCTTACAGCTCTAACTATAAGAGTTATACCTGTAGGGCATACTTTAAGGGTAAGATCAGATTGACTACAATGTCTAAATGGATAGTAATTCAGCAGCGTGAGCTCTGCATTTGAACCCTGGTCACTTCTCTATTATTGCTAATGCTATATCAGATTTAAAACCCAAGGGTTTTTTTGCCTGAAAATTGAGTCATTTTGATCATGAATATTTGGTTAGTTTCTCCATTCTACCTTAGAGCACTGATGTGGTTATGAAGCATTTTTAGTTACAGCAAGGCTGGGCTTCTGTAGCCTGCTTCATCCTAGCAATTGCAGAATGTTCAGCTACAGCAGCCTGGTTAGACGAAATGCTCTTTGTGACTGGAACAACCTGATTTGTACTTTCGCCTCCATAGACCAGCTGGAACAGCAGGATTTATGAATATTGCCGGACTTGTAATCATAAGTTACTTTGAATTTTTTTCCGGTATCACACAGTTTGTTTAACGTGACTGCATACTTCACTGTACAGCTCAACCTTATAGGTGTACAGGCACAGATTTCAGTATTGCCAGTCTGAGTGTTGGGTCATGCAGGTCTCCCTCCGGAGCACTGGCTTTTGTGTTGTGCCGATGTCTCTGGAGCATTTATTTACTTATGCAGTGCCTTCTTTACTGGCGCGGAGTTTTTTAGACATTTGTGGTGGTACAAGCAATCTTCAACTTTTTTGTTGGGTTTGGGGTTTTTTTTTCTTGGGTTTTTTTTTTGTTTGTTTGTTTGGGGGTGTGCCTCAGTTTACTTGGAATGAGCTTATGAGCTTTCATTTTGCCAAAGCAGAAAACCTTTATAGATGACCTCGAAAGAGCAGCCCAGATCTCGATATAGTTATCCAAAAAAACCCCCAACCCTGACTGTTAGGCTTTTAAAGAAAAGTCTCCTGCATAGGCCAAGAATTATGAAGTCTTTTAGAGCCAGAACTGCACTGAGAGTACATAGCAGGTAAAATACAGCATAGCTGTACTGGAAAAACACACTTAATGGACTTACAGACTATACGAGCGAAATTGCAGTCCTGCGGTATGGTTATATTTCACTTTTCCTGTGAGAAACAAGTTATGGCTTAGCAGGCACCCGTTCGCTGACATAATTGTCTATAGGAAGGGATCCTGCTGGCTCAGCTACACAGCTAGAGATCACGCTGCCGAGTGGCAAAAGGTTGCAACGTAGACCTGGCTTATGACTGTTTCTGAAAATCGATCTTGTGCTTCTGTGTTGATGCAGATGTTCCCATTTCCAGTGGCAGCAGCACTCTGGACTATCCCGGAACAGGACAGGGAATATCTGACCTCTTTGCAGTATGACATTGCAGCACAACTGCCTGAGCGTGGTGGGGTCGGTTATCAACCCCCGCTACTTGCTCTCAGGGGTGTTTGCACGGGAAAAGGCTGGGGGTGTCAGTCTTCACCTCCAGGCAATACCTCAAAGAGCAACTTCACAACCAAGCAATTGCCATTTCAGCTGTTCAAAGGGATTTACTTCTGTGATCTTAGGATACCAGATGAGAGGTTTCTAGCTGGAGGTTTGTTCACCTTTACCAGTGCAGGCGTTTTCTGTCACTCTGAGGTTGAAATGTGACTGACGACGTCTCCTTTAGTGTTCTTGTGGGTTTTTTTGTTTTCCCTGTTAGATTTCTCCTCTCCAGTCAGGAGAGTGTTTAAGTAACTTCTTTCAATCTCTTGTTTTGCCTAGTTGGCAGTCCGAGCTCCCTTGATAATGGTACTGCTAAAATGCCATAGTCTCATGATGCTTGGGATGCGAGGCTAAAAATCTGTTAAATTCCACAGGCTTGGGGAGAAAAATCTAAGCAAAACTTGCCAACAGCTTTTGCAGATTTATCTTGGCCCAGCAGTTACCCAGTATGTTAACAGCAAAACGCGTGGAACAGTTACTTGGAAAATCAATTACACAGCATGTGAAGCACCTCAACAATGTTCTGCAAAGAAATAGCACAGCCCTGTGTAATCTGCCACAGTAGTCTGTACAGGTTTCTGTTTGTCTTGAATGTCTTGGGCTCCAGGTTCCACACTAGCAATGGCAGCAAGGATGTTGGCATTTTAGAACAGTTTGTGTGTTTTTCCAAGTATCTAATATATGCTGTGCTTCCTCAAATTCAGTGGGAGGAGAATGTGCAACTCTGCAAAAATCCTGGGTTTTGTTTGGCTCCCAAATTGCTGTCAGCTGCAGAGTTTAGATTTTTCCCATCTGACACTTCACTGTTTGTTTTTTCATTCTCCTGGGGTAGAAGAACATTAACTTGAGTCCTATTATGTCCCTGTCATGTCTAGGCCATCACCTCATTGTTGTAAAGCAGAGGATTAACATTGGAGTTGAACATGCGGTGTCTCTGGATTACATCTCTGTTCTGGTGCATTTCCGATTTACCGCAACACTGTTTCTAAACCTCCAGAGCTGAGTTTGAGATACCGCATGTGGCTTGCTATGTGCAGACTCTAGCCGTTGCCTTGGTGCGAGTCTCAGGTTTAATGCTTTCATCCTCACTTGCAGCTAATTCTGGGATTTCACATGCGCTGAGGTCATCTTGTCTCAGGAAGGCAGCTGGTTTCGTATTTGGGGCTCCAAATGCTTTGCCTTGTCAAATCAGATTGTCGCTGATGTCACGGTCCCCTTTGCCAGCCGAGCAGCTCGGAGGACCAGGAGGACCAAGCGTGTGGCGGGTCTCGCTGATGGTCGCGCTTGTCTGCAGTACCCGCTGGAGGGCAGCACAGGCTGCTCCCATCCGCCATGCTCGAGTGGTGTCGCCAGCTGTCTCCTAACTTCCATCCTGCATTTTACAGTTCTAGATTTCTGCCTTTTATTTTCTTAGCCTGATTATTTGGGTTAGACTTTCAGAGCAAGAATTTAGTGGAGTTCACATAGGTTGTTTCAGCCTGGCCGTGAAATGCAAAAGGGCTCTACTGTTATGAACAAACTATCTGATCCAGTGAGGCTGGTTATGGATAAACCACAAATAGGACTGCTGAGGCTGTATAGAAGGAAAGAAATACAGAGTTGAGCTTTGGTTATTAAGGGCCCCAGCTAAAGGATATAAAAACATCTTCAGACTGTAGCGAGCTGTGTCTGTGTGCTTCGTTGTAAGTTGTTAGGTCTGTCTGCAGGTTGCTTCAGCCATGGAGAAGTGGAAGACAGCAATCCGTGAGGCCCAGACCTTCTCCCGTATGCACGTGCTGCTCGGGATGCTGGATGCCTGTATCAAGTGGGATATGTCGGCAGAGAATGCCAGATGCAAAGTGTGTCGCAAGAAAGGTAGGCATTCCTTCCCCAAGTCTGCGTAACAGTCGGACGCTGTCACCTCTCCATGCCCTGCTTAGGCAACATGCCCTTGTAGTCTGTCACTCTGTCTTTGGCTGTATTTTGAGTTTTGAATGTCAGGATTTACAGTCAGAAGCACTGGTCTCACAGAAGCATTTGACCCTGAATCCAATAAACCATTCTTACGAAACCAGTACTCAGTCTTGCAGAACATTGCAGAGCTGCTATCCCCTGGATATTCAGGGTACTTGGACACAAGTCATCTACAAATCCTTCTGGGAACACTTGTGCCACTGTCAATTCCCTGGTTTCATTTTTGAATTGGAATGGTCTTCAGGTCTCTGAGCCTCATCAGTTAATCCTATTTTACAGAAGGAACGAGCAAGGAGAGGTTGGGAAGGTTACTATCCTTTGTAGCCACATGGGAGAGGGTAAGGTGGGGTGATGCTACTTCGACGCTAGTGTGGGCTTGATGAGCTGGAAGAACCAAAGTCTGCCTCTTGTGTGAGAGCAGAGAAATGAAGCTACATGCCTTTGGCTGCTGCTCTGCTAAGGCTGGGGAAGTAATTAAAAAGGTGACAAGGGATCACCTTATCTATATGCATTATAGGATGAAGGGCTTTAGAGTCTTGCAGGTGCAGGGGGAGGTAACAGGGGTGTCACCAGGGACGGAGTGCTGTATTTGTTCTGCCATAACCTCTCCTTTTGGATGGAAGCCTGGTGGAAAGAACTTGGTAGTACATTCTGCCTCGTCGTGTGCTTTTTGTCTCACTTTCTATTTGCTGAAACAGTAGTGGGAAAAGGAGGGCAGACAGACCTCTGGGGAAATGCTGGGCCACTTTTGTTTACCAAAAGGCTATGCCATCCACCTCTTCAAAGAAATAAGGGCTGAATTGGTGCAACGTCCTCCTTCACTGTGGAGCCTCAGGGATATTCCAAACCAATGCAAAAACTGTCCTATCTGCTGTTGAGAGAGGATTCTAGGCAGATGTAAGAGGGGGCTCACCCGAGACTAACAGATTATAGTTTCACAGAACTTAAGAACTGGGGTGCTAGAGAAAGAGACATGCTGGCAAGCTCTCTGCGCTTTCCTTTTTTTCCTCTTCAGTAAATGAAATAGCTGGCTCAGGACTGTCTCCCTGTTTCCCTGCGTCAGTGAGAACCACAGCTAGTTCTGCTGCATACTGATTTTCTTTGTAGGCTTGCTACCTTAAGTAGAAAGAAGATGCTGTGCAGGTTGACCAGACTGAGGCTAGAATAAAAATAGCTATGTTTATAGCTTCTTGCTAGGCTCTAGGGCATCTTTGCAGCAAATTTCTCTTT